CACTGTTAGACAGGATACTGAACTAGATGGACCTTTAGACTGATCCACGATGGCAAATCTTCTGTTCCTAATTGAGGTTCTGTATTATGTTCATTCATTTAAATATATAGAATTACATGTATGTCATATCAAGACAACTTTCTAACATGTTTCTTTCTTAATGTAATTGTAACATTGTTTTTCTCACTTTGAGTCATCAAACAGGTAGATTGGCACTGCTATGATTGATACAGTGGTGTTGATTTAGCAGGTCTGGTGAAGACCCGCTAAGTCGATGGCAGAGCGCTCTCCTGTCAACTCTCTACGTTATTCTTGTAACTGAAGTAGCATAACTTAGGTTGACTTACCAGGGTAGTGTAGACAAGGCCTAAGGCAAAGTACCTGCCATTGCGCTCTCTGTGTATTTCTACTAGGATAATACTCAAAATTGGTGGGGTCTGAATAAAGGTAAGCAGGAAACTTCGTTTTTATGCTTCCTTTCCAAAAAAGGTCCATCCTCGAATATTGTGTGTGACAAAGATATCCCACATCCAGTGTGAAATAATGACTAATAGAGACAGTTTAGCCCAGAGAGAGCAGCATAATCATGAATCAGATTTGTCCAGTGTTTATATATATATATATATATATTAGGGCTGTCAGCGATTAAAAAAATTAATCGTGATTAAAAAGATTAATTGTGTGATTAATTGCGCTGTTAATAATAGAATACCATTTATTTAAATATTGTGGATGTTTTCTAAATTTTCAAATATATTTATTTCACTTACAATACAGAACACAGTGTAGAGTGCTCACTTTATATTTATTTTTGATTACAAATATTTGTGCTATAAAAAACAAAAGGAAATAATATTTTTCAATTCACCTCATACAAGTACTGTAGTGCAATCTCTTTATCATAAAAGTTGAACTTACAAATGTAGAATTATGTACAAAAAAGGCATTCAAAAATAAAACAATGTAAAACTTTAGAGCCTACAAGTCCTCTCAGTCCTACTTCTTGTTCAGTCAATCGTTCAGACAAACAAGTTTGTTGACATTTGCAGGAGATAATGCTGCCCGCTTCTTGTTTACAATGTCACCTGAAAATGAGAACAGGTGTTCACATGGCACTGTTGTAGCTGGCGTTGCAAAATATTTACGTGCCAGATAGGCTAAAGATTCATATGCGCCTTTGTGCTTCAACCATAATTCCAGAGGATGTGTCCATTCCGATGATTGTGTGATGGGTTGGACCTCCCCATCTGGGATGCCACCTGATGTACTGGGGTTTCACGGAGCCTCCGCTGCTCCACCAGCCTGGATTCCCTCTCCCTGTTTTGCTGAATTAGGCTCCCCGGCTTCTTGCAGCACATACACACAGGTAGGGCCACACCCAGCTACAGACACAGACTGAAGTCAGCTCTGTGTGAGAGGACTCACCCAGCACTCACGTGCACACCCCCTTTGGGGGATAAACACTAAATAATACTGTCTTGTGCTGTAAAGAAAGATCTGCACAGCGCAAGCTCATAAAAATTCTCCCTCTCCCTCAATGTGGAGAGAGAGATGCATAGCTTCTCCCCTCCCCTCCCCCCCGATATGAATTGCACAAGCTGGGTTATGTTATAAACAAGAAATAAGTTTATTAACTACAAAAGGTAAATTTTAAGTGATTATAAGGGATAGCAAAAGATCAAAGCAGATTGCTGATAAATAGAAAATGCAAACTGAGCTTAACACACTAGCTATGTAAGATATAAATTAGCAAATTCTCAACCTGAGTGATAAACGGGATTGCAGATTCTTAAGGCACAAGTTGCCTTGGCTTTCCCAGGTTTTCATACACAGGCTAAAAATCCTTCTAGCCTGGGACCATCACTTCCCACAGTTCAGTCTTTGTTTCCTCCTCAGGTGTTTCCAGGTGTGTTACTGTAGAGAGAGTGAGGTCCCCTCATAATGTCGTTTCTCCTCTTTTATATCTTCTCCCTGCCTTCTGGAAAGCTCTTTTGCTGTGACCTGGATCAAACAGTTCCCATTGTGCTATATCTCAGGTGTTTCTATTGTACACAGTTCCTGGGGTAATCCTTGTGCTTGTGTGCATTTCCTCAATAAGACCATGAAATTATCCAGGCCTTTTTACTGTCATACCTGAAAGGCTGCTTGTGGGTGTTTACAACCTCCGGACATGTTTCAGCAGCACATGTATAGCCAAACTTCATAACTTCACACACAACGATAGCACATACAATTCAACGAGATATTACTGTCTAGCAGATCAAGACTTTTAGAATGGCACCTCACAAGGCATACTTTGTATAAGACATGTCCTAATTATATGACAGTGGTGAATATTGAGGTGTCAAGGTGTAACAGGTGGGTTGTGCTTGATAACTATCCAAAGCAGTGCAGAGCGACGCATATTCATTTTCATCATCTGAGTCAGATGCCACCAGCAGAAGATTGATTTTGTTTTCTGGTGGTTCGGGTTCTGTAGTTTCCACATCAGAGTGTTGCTCTTTTAAGACTTCTGAAAGCATGCTCCATACCTCATCCCTCTCAGATTTTGGAAGACACTTCAGATTCTTAAACCTGGGGTTGAGTGCTGTAACTATCTTTAGAAATCTCACATTGGTATCTTTGCGTTTTGTCAAACCTACAGTGAAAGGTGTTCTTAAAACGAACAACATGTGCTAGGTCATAATCCGAGACTGCTATAACATGAAATATATGGCAGAAAGCAGGTAAAACAGAGCAGGAGACATACTGTTCTCCCCCAAGGAGTTCAGTCACAAATTTAATTAACCCAATATTTTTCTAACAAGCATCATCAATATGGAAGCATGTCGTCTGGAATGGTGGCCAAAGCATAAAGGGGCATATGAATGTTTAGCATATCTGGCACATAAATACCTTGCAATGCTGGCTACAAAAGTGCCATGCAAACGCCTGTTCTCACTTTCAGGTGACATTGTAAATAAGAAGCCAGGAGTATTATCTCCCGTAAATGTAAACAAACTTGTTTCTCTTAGTGATTCGCTGAACAAGAACTAGGACACTTGTAGCCTCTAAAGTTTTACATTGTTTTATTTTTGAATGCACTTACGTAACAAAAAAAATCTACATTTGTAGGTTGCACTTTCACAATAAAGAGATTGCATAACAGTATTGTATGAATTGAACTGAAAAATACTATTTCTTTTGTTTATCATTTTTACAGTGCAAATATTTGTAATAAAAATAATATAAAGTGAAAATTGTATACTTTGTATTCTGTGTTGTAATTGAAATCAATATGTTTGAAAATGTAGAAAAAATCCAAAAAATATATAATACATTTCAATTGGTATTCTATTGTTGAACAGTGCGATTAAAACTGCGATTAATCAAAAAAAAAGAGTTAATCGCGTGTTAACTGCAATTAATTGACAGCCTTTATATATATGTTTACCAATAGATTTATAACCAGTTAGACTACTTTGGGGGGTCCTGTTAGCTCTACAAAGCAGAATATTCCCTGTAGATTAGTACTAGATGAATAATCTTGTTTTCAGATGGTTATGCATTCTAAACTCCAAGTCTCCAGGACAATATTAGGAAATGATCTGGTTCCAGAATACAAAGTTTTAAAACAGTTAATATTTTAGTAGAAACTTTTGATAGTCAAAATTCCTTTTCTACACTGTAGTTCCCCAACAACAAGAGCACCTGAACTCGAGAGGTGCTGAGCACAGAAATTCCCATTGCGTAGCTTGCGCTATTTACTGCCAGATTATAAGGAAACATGAAGAGGCAAATGTGATTTTTTTTTTTCATTTGAAAATATTGCTGGTGCAGCAAGTCTAGCTGGTAGTCTTCTCCACTATCATTCAAGAAGCTGGAGTTTGATTCCTGATACTATCTTTCACTCCTATCTGCAGGGCATTAGGGTTGTATAGGACATGCGTTCAACTTCTGAATGTGAGCATCTGATGTCACTGAGCAGTGATTCTTTTAGATTATTTAAAGAGTGATATTTCAGAGGGAGTATCATCCAGTTATCAGCCAGAAGGATAACTGGCTTGGAAATGGGGAAGATAAAAGTAAAGGAAAATCTGGAGACATTCAGGACTTTGGCACGTGCAAGTTAAAGATTCTTTCCAGACTGATGGACCCCAAATTTGGAGCTTCAATTTTTTTTCTATTTTGTCTATTTGAAAAGCTCATATAATTCTTTGTAAATTGTTAGTGTATTAGCACTCATAGGCAAGTCTAAATAACAAACTACATGTGATATAGAGGAAAATATTATTAAAGAAAATCTCCAGCTCACAATTCACAGTGATCATAAACAGTATAGGATGAAAAAAAGATTATTTTCAAAATTATGAAACATACTTTGACAATGTCCTTGTAATTTTCAATATTTTGAAGACTTATTTATTTAACTCATCCAACGTGTCTCTTAAGTTAATATTTCCTATTGGACTTACTTCTGTTGGTGAAAGAGACAAGCTTTCAAGCTACACAGGCTCTTCTTCAGGTCTGCTTGAACCATCGTTACTTACTTAGCTATCATTCCAATATAAAGCAATGTTACATTTACGCAAGTTAACTTTGGCTTAGCATGAGTATAGCTAGATGTGGGATACTAGATGCTCATTGCAGATGAACCAAATTTGATGTTAGGGGGAAATATATCAAACTTTGCAAATACTTTGGAAAATGGAGACTAAGCCTAATATGAAATAGCTTTTAAATTGGAAATTAGGATCACACTATCTATACTCTAGCATTTTGATGGAGCAGACATTCTATGGTTTAACTCAGCTGCAAAATGTCTTAAATAAAAATACCAGGAAAAGAACCTGCATATGGATCCATATGGAGGGTAGGTAAGACAGTGGGCTTTAAGTACATATTTGTTATCAGCATTCACAGGGTTACTACTTTGTCATTATATTTTACCTTACTGTCCTTTAAACATTCTTGTTTTACTGTAATCAATGTCTTTTTTCCCTTCTGTATATATTTTGTAGATTCACAACCAGTATCCAACAGAGTTTGAATTCAATCAATATTTCTTGAAGTTCTTAGCTTTCCACTACGTTTCAAATAGATTTAAAACATTTCTTCTGGATTCAGACTATGAAAGACTAGAACATGGTATGTGTAGAAGAATGTGGTTGATGCTCATTCATTTTTTTTTTCATTTCTTTATTATTTTACACTTTTGCCGTTAATTAATATTTAGTTCACAGGAGTCTTTCCATTGTGAGATGGTGCTAATGATTACATTGCAACCAACTAGAAACATAGAAAAATTTACTATGTGCTATATAAGTGTCTGAGGTGTACTGGAATTAATTCTGCGTACAGAGTCATTGGCAGTTATACTTGGTGAATGAATAGTTCCTGAACCATGCTAAAAGGGAAAGAATAAAAGGGTAAGAGAAATGGAAGGAATAGTTATAATTGCCAGAACCTTGCTTCACTTTCCAGTCCACTCACTTAATACAATTTCCCCTTCCATCTGCCTGCTCTCTAAAGAACTTTGGTTTTTTATTGGTTTTTTTTTTTAATTTACTAGAAAAGAGGTCCTGGGATTCATGAGATTGTATGGCATTTCCATAAAGGAGAGCCTTTTTCCCCTTCCTCCTGAACGCCTGTGTTTTTCTTTTACTTTCTTCCTCTATCTCTTGCAGGCTAACGTGCTTCATCTAAGGCCCCACCTCCCTTCTGCATTCTCAGCCCTACCTCTGTCAGACTGATCACTCAGTCACATCCACCTTTCTCAGGCTTGTCTCTGAGCATATGCAAGAAGCAAAGGGGTAGTGCAAACTCTGAAATGAACAGTTTTCACAGAGAAATCAGGTTTTTCATGGCAAGCAGTCAATTTAATGCGTTCTGTAAAAGCCCAAACGACCATGAAATTAATCCAGGCACTGAGCAACCATTCTATTTCTGCACAAAATACTGATTTGTATGTTTTTTAAACTAGTGTAATTTTATCATAGTTATGAGACTCCCAACAGGGTGGTGATGCTTTCAAATATCACCACGCCAAGAAGGAAATAGTGGCTTCAGTGAAATCAATGACAAAACTACCGTTGACTTCAGTGGAGCCTGGATTTCACCCCAAGTCTCTGCTCTCAGACTTGTACTTCCAAGTCCACATTTCAGGTGGTGATATTGCACAATAGAACAACAATGTATCACAAGTTATTGAATAATTATAACATTTTTAATGTGTATATATAGTACACGAAGTGGCAGCTAAAGTGCAAAAACAAAAAGTAAATTTAGAACAAACCTCATTAACAACACCTCAAGTACTGCAGTAGGCTTCAGAATAAGAATGCAAATGTCGCATTATAGAATGTTTATTTTCATATCAAGTTGGTGTTCAGGCAGCAAGAATGGCAATTATACTGCACCACATAAAATTCTTTAATGTTATTTTCATCAATTCAGACCTCTTAAGTATTGGGCATTTTTGCAATGTTTTCATTCCTTGATAAATGTCATAAAACAAAATCCTTCTGATTATGCTTTACCATTTGTCACATGTCACTATAAAGCCTTCTTTTACCTTTTTTCCCTATAGGGACATTGTTTGAAGATAAAGGAGACAGACATGCCAAAAAGGGAATCTGTATTTGGGAATGTATTGAAAAAATGCACAAAAGGAGCCCCATTTTCTTCAATTACCTATATGCACCTGTTGAAACAGAGGTATGATATAGAAACTTTTATGTTGTTTCAGAGTAGCAGCCGTGTTAGTCTGTATCCTCAAAAAGAACAGGAGTACTTGTGGCACCTTAGAGACTAACAAATTTATTAGAGCATAAGCTTTTGTGGGCTACAACCCACTTCTTCGGATGCATATATTTATATGCATAAATATATATATATATATATATATATATATATATATATATATATATATATATATATATATATATATATATATATATATAT